TTTTTTTTTTTTTTTTTCCTTTTTGTCTTTTTTCTTGACCGGCAACGGATCGCAACCCTCAGTGTCGTGCCCGGACCGGACCGGGACTGGCATCGGGATCGCAACCCTCGGTGTTGCGCCTGCACCTCACTCAGCCAGTGAGCGGCCGGTCTGTAGACCGGACCGGGACTGGCATCGGGATCGCAACCCTTGGTGTTGCGCCTGCACCTCGCTCAGCCAGTGAGCGGCCGGTCTGTATGTGGGATCCGAACCCTCGGCGGGAGTGCAGCCACGCTCCCAAGCAGCGCACTGTAGCAGTGCGCCACCGGGCCGGCCCCTCCTGTTCTTTCTTCATGTGCCATTTCCTTTAGCTGGATGCCCTGTATGTGGTGTTGTGAGCTGCCATGTGTCCTTAGGGGACAAATGTGAGGGGCAAAAACACATATAGAGACACATGTAAAATCTCTTTCTTCTCATTTTTAGAAAGCCACAGTACATGCAAAAGAATCACTTCCTGGGCCAGCCCATGGCTCACTTGGGAGAGTGTGGTGCTGATAACACCAAGGCCACGGGTTCGGATCCTATATAGGGATGACCGGTTGGCTCACTTGGGAGAGCGTGGTGCTGACAACACCAAGTCAAGGATTAAGATCCCCTTACCGGTCATCTTTAAAAAAAAGAAAGAATCACTTCCTGTCAGTGGCAGGACAGGACCTGTGATGCTGTTTGCTTCTGATCCCGGCCTGAGGAGCCCACTCCCTTGCTGGTCCTCAGGCCACATGGGGGGGACCTACTGGCAAACACCGTCTTATCCTGCTGGGGCTGCTGTCCAGGGTCTGCCTGTGGACCGTGCACCAGCACCATCCTGAGCTGGACCTCCCAGACGGTGGTGGCCGATGGGCCACGGGGGAGGCAAGTGACAGTCATGGCAGTACTGCTATTATCTTCCTGGGCGGCAATGGCTGGGAACCAAACCTGCATATTCCAAGGCGCAGGTCAGCCCCTTGCGGTGTGGACTGACATATTTCATAGGAAAGCACTTTGGCTGTTCCTGAGACATGCATTTTTTTCTAGATAAATGCATTTTTAAAGCCTGGCCAACAGTCTCTTTCCCTAGCTACTCAACACTAAGGATTCTAAGAAGCTGAAAGAAAAAAGAAAAGGAAAACTTTGCCATGGGGGAGAGTGGGGAGGCAGTAGGATCTGCCTGG